TGGAAAATACACATAAGATATTATTAATGAGCCTCACAATGGAACTAAACAATGACACACACTACAATATGAATGCACTCCTGTACGATACCTATGAAATGACAAAACAGTTAACAATGCAATAAAATAAGAGATTCACCAAGAAAACAAGGTGTAATAAGACTCCATTCATACAGGTCTGAGTTGTCAAACTCTTGAAAACAGAAAGTAAATGGTGGACACAGGGGCTGAGGGACAGAGCAGTTGGGAGCAAGAGTTTAATGAGTACAGTATTTTATTACTGGGAAATGAAAAAATCTGGAAGGTGGTGATGGCTGTATAACACTGGTAGCCAGAGAGCTACCCACATGGTGTGGCAGACCTCTCCTGACTCTCCCACTGCTCCCCTCAGCAGAGTATTTCAATAGATTTGCCTGTTCTGCTCCCCACTCTGTCTCTGGTGAATCCTCCCCCCTCCCACACCTCTGGCCCATACCTCAGTTTTTGCATAAATAAATTCATCTTTTAAAATATGAATGAATGAATGAATGAATGAATGGAGGGCCACGTTTTCTAGGAAAAGGAGAAAAAGAAGCAACAGTCATGCTGGGCAGAAGAGCAGCCACTGCTGCTCCCCACAGTGCAAAGTTTTATAAAATGAAACACTTGCATGGTCACAGGTGACAGAAGAGCTGGTAAAATTAGGTTGCAAAATATATTCATTCTATCAATATTCTATAAACATCTATCAAAATTAAAAAAATCTACCATTAACCGTAACTTCAGCAAGAATCATATGTATGACAAATGCAAACACACCTACTATACTCCAGACTTGATGACAGAAACCTGAAGCTCTTTATTAAAAACTACATTGAGCATCACTGACATAAACTCCCAACAACCAAAGGTCAAATGATGAACATCTGCGCTACCTGGTTTTACTCAGCGAGTGTCTGTGTCATGACCCTTGTTCAAACGTGTCCCACTGACCCCTGAGTACTTTCTCCCCCTGAACTCTGAGGTGTCACCACACCCTGGCCAGTCGGAGGCAGAAAGGGAGCAACCTCATCACTGAGAAAACACATCCATCAGGTTTGGCCAAGAATGAGAACTGTAATGTGAAAGAAAGTGAACACACACACTCACACGCATGCACGCATGCACGGCGGTGCTGTTGTTAGCAACCATTAAGATATCAGGTAATACTGAAGAGTAACCTGCATTGGGTGAGACTAAACTCTGGAACAGAGTAATCCCTTTCTGGTGGCGGGAGACCTGGGCTGAGAAGGATCTAATTCCACACGGGAGGGCACAACACAGGACGAGGTTTGCATGTTGCATGAGCAGCAGGTGCCATCGGGACGGCTACAGGCGCAGTCAGGTGGGAGCCGAGCCTGTGGTACTAGGCCTGGGCAGGAGGCCCACGCGCAAGTGTAACTGGCAGAAGTGGCAAAACACAGTTGACTGACTCACTCAGGAGAAGTGCAGACTGAAGACGGGAGACCAGATCGGAACACAGGGACTAGCTACATTCAGAAGCACAAGATACTCAAGCATTCAGGGACACAGAAAAGAAATCATCAGAGAGACCATGACAGAAGCAAACACAAAGAAATTTGCATCTTCCAAAACACTGGAGATGGAGGAAAACTCACCAACACATACGACGAGGTCAGCATTGCCCTGATACCCTCCAAAAAAAGACAGCATAAAAGGGAAAAATAGACCAACACCACCAAAGAACAGAGAAGCGAAAATCCTCAACAAATTCCAACCGAGTTAATACAGCAACATGGAGTCTCCCTGGTGAAGCAAGGAGTTAAGGCAAAGCACTATGAAGCTATCCACAGCCCCTGCAGCATGAGTTCGATCCCCAGTCAGGGAACTCACCCACACGGCACACCTGACCTCTCCTGTCTCCTTGCTGTTCCCCTTAGTAGTGTATTTCACCAGATCTGCCTGTTTTGTTCCCCACTCTGTCTCTGGTCAATCCTCTCACTCACCACATGTCTGGCCTGTACCCCAGCTCTTATATAGATAAATAAATCAATCTATAAAATTCCAAATGGGTTAAATATTTGGTGATGTACTTGACAGAAAATATAGGGACACACTAAGGACAGTTGCCCCAAAGTGCACTAGGGAACACAACCCCAACACCCAGGGAAACAAAAGCAAAAATCAACAAGTGGGACACCACTAAACCTAAAAGCTTTCATACCTTAAAAGAAACCAGCCCAAAAACTGAAAGGCAGTCTACAGAACAGAAAAAGAATCTGCATGCCACACATGTGACAAGGGGTTCATTCCAAAATTTATAACATCCCCAAACAATGCGAGAAACCAACTGATGACTCAATTAAAAATGGACAAAGGGGGGCCTCCCTGGTGACACAAGGGGTTGGGACGCAGCCTATGAAGCTCTCCAAAGCCTCTGCAGCACGAGTTTGATCCCTGGCCGGCAGGGAGCAACCCGCATGGCGCAGCAGACCTCTCCTGACTCCCCACTGCTCCCCTCAGCAGTGTGTTTCAGTAAGTCTGCCTGTTCTGCTCCCCACTCTGTCTCTGGCGAATCCTCTCACCCTCTGCACCTCTCGCCTGTACCCCATTCTTGTATGCATAAATGAATAAATCTTAATTAAAAAATGGACAAAGGAACTACATACACTCTTCTCTAGAGAGGGAATTCTGACATCCTACAGACAATAGGAATGTTCACCTTAACTTATTTTAAGAGAAATGTAAATTAAAAGCACACTTAGATGCCACCTCACCCCTTGAGAAGGCCCAAATGAAAATGAATGGATTTATACAAAACGGGGGTGAGGGGTGAGAATTTTATGGGGACTACAACAAAGATGTAAATGATTACACTGTGCAAAAATGAAAATGATGTAAAATTATGTAAAATAGTATTTAAAAAAGTGAAACACTAAAAAAAAAAAAAACAAATATGGAATGAACAACGCTGGAGAGGGCACAGAGAAAAGGGAGCTCTCACCCACGGCTGGTGGCCATGACATTCGGAACAGACCCTGTGGATGAGGGTGCAGAGGTTTCTTAAGGAAATAAAAACGGAAATTCCATATCATCTGCAATACTTCTACACATTATCCTCACGGGAAAACTCAAACACAAAAAGATTTATCCCATCCATGAGCAGAGCAGCTGTGTTTCCAACTGCCCAGTCATGGCCCAATCTACATCCCTTTAGCAGAGGCAGGGCAGGAAGTGTGGAGCACACGCAGGGGAGCACTGCAGGGCTGTGAGGAAGGAGCAAAGGGCCACACTGAGGATAAAATGGGTGGGCAAGGAGGTGATATTGTTTTTTTCTTTTTTAAAAAATATTTATTTATTTATGCATACAGGAGCTGGGGTACAGGCCAGAGGTGCAGGGGAGGAAGGTGAGAGGATTCACCAGAGACAGAGCAGGGAACAGAACAGGCAGATAGACCGAAATACACTGCCGAGGGACACAGCAGGCCAGTCAGGTCTGCTGCGTCATGTGGGTAGCTCCCTGGCTGGCCGGGGGATGGAACTTGTGCTGCAGAGACTACAGACAGCCCCATCGGTTGCATCTCAAACCCTTGTGCCACCAGGGAGGCCCCGGGAGGTGCTATTCTTGAGTGAAATAAGCCAAAAAGTAAAGACACATATGAGATGGCTTCACTCATCTGTGGAAAATAAATACCCAAAAAACATTTACAGCCAAAATACTTGAATAAAACTTGAACAGGGTCATTTGAAGGTAAAGATGACCACCAGAGGGAACAGGGAAATGGGTGGAGAAGTTAGGGAGGGAGGAAGACGGGGGACGGGCCAGAGTGGTTTGCTAGAGGGGGAAACTAGGGGTAGGGCAAGACCCATTAGGATTGTAGGAAAAAACTGGCAACTATTTCAGCAGAAGGCTTTTAGTGCTACACATGTCAATGACAGATCGAGGAGGGAAAATAAGTAAAAGAATAAGAAAAAAAGTATAAGAAGCTTTAAAACAATTAAAAAAAATGAAATTTCCCAAAGGTCACACATGGTGTTCTCAAACATGGCAGGAACTTTTGGAGAGTGTAACTGGACTGGAGAGCAACTTAGGGTGTAGTGAGTGTCACTAGAAATGCATTCAGTCCACACCAAGGAGAAATGCGCAGGAGCAGTGGAAACAACGGCCAGAAAAAAGGACTCTGAAGAGTCTACTGGGCACCTTCGGTTTGCAGGCCACCTGAGAGAAAGGCAGGGGCAGGTATGTAAGGATCCCCCATTGGACTCAACGGCACACATGCCAAGACTGATGCCTGCATGAAAGTCTCCGAGAGTTGTGTAGGACACAGTATATGATTTTAGCTACTGCACAGAAACCTTAAAAATTCAGTTGGGGCCTCCTGGGGGGCCCAAGGGTTTGAGCGTTGGGTTGTGAAGCTGCCCGCAGCCTCTGCAGCGCCAGTTGGATCACCAGCGAGGGTCCCACATGGCGCGCAGACCTCTCCTGCCACCGGCTGCTCCCCTCAGCAGTGTACTTCGGTCCTTCTGCCTGCTCTGCTCCCCGCTCTGGCTCTGGTGAATTCTCTCACCCTCCTGTGCTTCTGACTGTACCCAGTGCATGTATAAATAAATAAACAAATCTTGAAAAAAAAATCAGTTGTCCTTTTTAAAAGACATGTGGCTCCTTCACCCCCATTCTGCACTCAGGTCCTCAGGCCCCATCCTCCCCCTCCTCCCTCACCCCGCACCGGACCAGCGCAGAGCTGGGAAGTGTTTCTGTCCAGCGGGGTGAAGAGCCACAGTCCACACCTTCAGCGTCATCAACCGCGACCCAGGTACAGACTCTGACTCTGCGCTGCGTGAGCACCAGGGCAGAGCCCCATCTTTACACATGCTGGACATGTGAAGTGCCTGGATCTACGCCACAACTTTCTCTGGTGAGGAATGTGTCCCTGGAGAAAACTATGTTTCTAATTTACGTGTCCGTTGAGATACTCCCATATAGTCAATGCACCGCGAGCTAAAGCAAACACAGCACTCACCAGAGATTGGTCCATTGTCGCTGCTCTCACAGAGGCGCGAGGGCTCTGGAGGCGGCGCTGGGAGGGGCGATGGGGTCCAGCACAGAGGACGGAGGCAGCTGCACGGGGTCCTGGAGTCTCCTGTCCAGAGCCCGCCACACGCTGCCTGGAGACACCAGAGAGTCACTGCGGGTGACGGCCGTGTGACACTTCTAGCAGGGGCAGGAGAGGCCCCGCGAGTCCATGAGCGGCAGAACGTGGGTTCACGGTTCACCATAACTTAACAAAAGGTGACACTTCCCACTGCCTGATCAACAGTCACGCCAAGAACAACCGTCTCAAAGCTGATGAGTCACTTCAGAGTGTGGACACGATTTCCAACGAGACGACGCCCCGAACGCACTGTTCTGCCAGGACACCCGGCAGTGGCTCCGCGCCGCTTCCCGCCCTCCTCTCCGTGGACACCCAACAGGGACACAGTCCCCCTGGGTGCGCACCTCCAGGAGGAGGCCTAATGCAGAAGCCAGCAGGACGCCGCCTGGGGGCGGGAATGCGAAAGGAGCCTGGAAATTCAGACAACAAGCCTCTAACGCAGCAGGACCCCCCCCCCCCCCAAACCCAGTTTCCCCCGGGACCTCCCCGCCCCCACAGGGGCTGCCTCCATCCTGGCAACCTGAGCAACGTCACCCGCCCACCTTGGGTCCATGAATCTGGCCCCGGGCGCAATACAACCCCCCCAGAAACGCAGCCTGGCTCTCCTCTCCCTCACCGCCCGACTTTCGGGGGCCAGAGGAGTCAGCGCGCATGCGCACAGGCGGACCCGCGCTTCCCCAGGGCCCCCGCCTTGGGGACCCCGTCCCCCGCCCCGGGAAGACCCCGGGCAGCGTCCGGGGTCAGGGCCGGGCGGCCGCGCCGGGGACACCCCGGAAAGGCCGGGACGTTCTCCCCAACGGCCCTGCCCCGCCCCCACGCGCGCTCCGGGGGAATCGGCTCCAAAGCGCCCGACTCCACGCGGCCGGGGCCCCCGCTCGCCCGCGCCCCCGCTCCCCAACCCCCGGCGTCTCCGCTCACCCGAGCCCGGCCTCCCGGGACAAACCCGCGCTCACCTCGGGGCGCCCCAGCGCTCGCGGAGGCGCCAGAACGTTCGGAACGGATGGGGGGGGGGGGCGCGCCTGCGCAGATCGCGGAAGCCCCGCCCAGAAACCTCCGCGGGAACCACGGGGCTGGAGACTACATTTCCCACAACCCCTTGCGCAGCCCGTCGGGCCGTCGTCGGGGTGGGGTTGCGGCCTGGAAGTGGGAGGAGTGGAGGTTGAGGAGAACCAGCAGGTGGGCGAGGCCCGTGAAAACTGCAGGGCCCATAATGGGTTCAGGGCTCTGAGGGAAGAGAGCTCAACAGGGCCGCCCTGGGGCTGAAGGGGTTAAGCACCGCGCTGACTGAAAAGCTATCTGCCCCCTCCACAGCAGGGAGCCTCCCACAGGGCATGGCAGACCTCTCCCTTCTTGCCCACTGCTCCCCTCAGTAGTGTATTTCAGTCAGTCGGCCTGTTCTATGCCCCACTCTGTCTCTGGTGAATCCTCTCTCTCTCTCTCTCTCTCTCTCTCTCTCTCTCTCACACACACACACACACACACACACACACACACCATTTGGCCTGCACCCCAGCTCTTGTATGAATAAATTTTAAAAATATACATAAGAAGTTCACATATAGTCTAAATAAGACATTCAGATACCAAGACACATTTCATCAAAATCAACATTCAGGTATTTAAGAAGCATCTTGACCTTCTGATATCTGGATCACAGAGTCGGTGTTCAACATAAAGATGCTTTGCTTAGCTAATGTGAATGGACAAGAATTCTACGCTGTTATGAAAAGCTCACCTGCTCTTTCATCACATGCTTGTGAAGATTTTTGTTGGCAACAACGTCCAATAATATTCATGGCTCCATTACTACCATGAAGAAACATGAGGATATTAATAAACTGTTAGTGTATTCCCTGAAGGAGAAAATGATGAAATGAGTTGAACTTCAGCACGTTTCCGTGTCTAACTTTTATGCCCACAATGAAGTCCACCACTCCTCTGGGTGATTTAGATCAACCTTTTCAGTCAGACACAAACAGCATATCCATTTAGATTTTCTTCATCCATGATACATGACACCATCATAAATGTACCCAAGCAATTAAGATGTAAAGAAACTCATCAACTGGAGAGGGTCCCTTAGATGTTTGACACATGAAAGTCAAACACTTGACTCCACCTACATACCAGGAGAAAGCCATAGAGTGAAGTGATTTAGGGCTGAATTATATTCATCAGGTCTCTTCACAATATCTCAAGTATGGTTGATAAAAAAAGGACAAAGAAAATAACTATACAGGGCCCCAAACCATCGTCTTGAACTCTTATTTATTTTTTAAAGATTGATTTTATTTATTTATGCATACAAGAACAGAGGGGTAGGCCAGAAGTGTACGGGGTGAGAGGATTCCCAAAGACAGAGTGCAGAGCAGAACAAGCAGATTGACTGAAACACACTGCTGAGGGGAGCAGCAGATAAGTCAGGAGAGGTCTGCTGTTTCATGTGGTCAGCTCCCTGGCCAGGGACCAAACGATAGCTTCATAGTGCTGTGACTTAACCCTCTGCACCACCAGGAAGGCCCTCAGACTTTTCAGTTATGCTAATATTTAGTGTTTTAATGTTGGCTTATGCTCCATAACAATTTTCTGACTTAAGGAATGTAAAGTGTTTCTCACTTCCTAATGTATTGCAATATCTTAATATGAATCTAAATTGCATTATAAATTACTTAATCATATTTTCACTTCTTTCAAGTTTCCAGTATGAAAACCTGGTGGCTTCAAAATTCATATTTGGACAAACCACTCATCACTTTCCATTTACAGTTTCTCTTGGTTTGCACTCTCTGATGTTTAGGATGATCTGACTTCTGGTTAATCACTTTGACACTTCTGGTTAAACTTCTGGACTTCCAGTTAAAGACACCAAAGTTGGGACCTCACTGGTGGCACAAGGGGTTAAGACACAACCTATGTAGCTATATGCAGCCACTGCAGTACGAGTTGGATTCCAGGTCAGGGAGCTACCCACATGGTGCAGCAGACCCCTCCTGTCTCGCCTGCTGCTCCCCTCAGCAGTGTATTTCAGTCAATCCGCCTGTTCTGTTCCCCACTCTGCCTCTGATGAATACTCTCACACACCCCCACCTCTGGCAGATACCCCAGTTCTTGTATGCATAATAAAATAAATCTTGAAAAAAAGAGACTAAAGTAAAAAAATTGACTTCACAATTTTAACATTTCTCTCTGATGTGAATTCTCTAATGTAGAGTAACACTTGACTTGCGGTGAAAGGCTTTGCCACATTCTTCACATTTGTAAAGTTTCTCCCCAGTATGAATTCTGTGATGTTGACTTAAATGTGATGGATGGTAGAAGGCTTTGCCTACATTCTTCACATCTGGAAGGTTTCTCCCCTGTATGAATTCTATGTTGTCGAGTAAGACATGACTTATTGTTAAAGGCTTTGCCACATCCTTCACAATTGTAAGGTTTCCCCTCAGTATGAATTCTGTGATGCTAAGATAGTTAAAGGCTGACAGTTGGTTAAAGGCTTTCCCACATTCCTCACATCTGTAAGGTTTCTCCCCAGTGTGAACTCTCTGATGTCGGGAAAGGTGACACAGCACAGGAAGGTGTTACCACAATCAGGACGCGTGTAGGCTTTTCTCCAGCATGAATCCTTAGATGGTTAGTCAGCTGTGGATGCCAATACAAGGCTTTACCATGCTCTTCACACTTGTGAGGTTTCTCTCTGTGATGTTCAGTAAGTCTTAGGCACATTTGGTAGCTTTGCCATATCCTTTACAATTGTAGAGTTTCTCATGAAGTACATGATGCTGGAAAAGTTTTGAGGACTCCTCAATAGGATCCTGTGTAGATTTTTCATCTTCCTTTATAATTCTCTGATGTTGAGAATGACATGACTGAAAGTTTATGACAGTGTTTTGAATAATCATTTGCATTATGGACTAGGGGACTTCCCATATGTTCCAACATTCTTCTCAGAGATTGTGTCTTGTTAAAAATGTCACATGGATCTTTGCTAACAGAAACATATTTATCTCTACCTGCAACAGACGTAAAATGGAGTTTTACCCAGCATGGTTTACACGCAGGATCACTTTGTACAGGAGGAATTTTGTTATGGATAATTGTCCCATATTGGGAATCTTCATTGCAACAACTGTTGTGCCCTTCACATGTCTCTTGACATGTCTGGTCTATCAATAATTGTAAATTCTCAAACCAATTCCATCTCCTCCCGGTCACACATTTAGCAACAAATCTTCTGTGCCTGACTGTGGCATGGAGACCTGGTTGTCTTGAGAAGACAGGGCAGGAAGACAACGAGGAATAACTACCCCACACACAGCACTCAAGACAAAATACTTTAAATATTGAAGACATAAAATTAATACCATATAAAGACCCCTGACATGATTTTGGATAGGTAACATCAGCACTAGACAGCAACACACATGCTTATGAATAGGTTAACGTCCTTAGGGAAAGGTAAATACATAGCAAATACTGATATAACCCTATAGTAAAAATATTGTTTCTGCTTCAGAATTTGGAAATATGGCACAACAAAAAAATCATAGATTCATGTTATAGAATACAAATATCATGAGATATAATTTGTGATGTCAGTAGGGGTAGAAATGTTAAAGAGTGGAGTTTTGGTATGCAGCTGAATTTACATGGTTTTCACTTTAGAAAAGACTGTCATAACTATTCAACATGCTATGGAATGCCCATGAGAAAAAAATACCGTAAAATACATGGAAAAGAAATGAAAACAGAGACTGATGTTATGTGTACATAGGTTGGATGACAATGCTTTACAATGTTTGTAAATAATATTACAAACCAATATACCTCCATTAACATCAAAATGTGTGAAAGTGGAGGGAAATCAACAAGAAAGGAGAGAGGAATTAAAGCATATAAGAAAAGGTCAAAAAATATACAGTGATGCAGTAGGTTGGAAATGGGGTATAAAATGGCTGAGAATACTGCATCCGCAGTGGCGCAGCTGTTGAGTGCTGGGTCGTGAAGCTGCCTGCAGCCTCTGCAGTACTGGTTAGATCTCCGGCCGCCAGCAAGGGTCCCACATGTTGCGCAGACCTCTCATGCCGCCCACTGCTCCCCTCAGCAGTGTACTTTGTCAGTCTGCTTGTTCTGTTCTCCGCTCTGGTTCTGGTGAATTCTCTCACCCTCCCGTGCTTCTGACTGCACCCCGTGCTTGAATAAATAATAAATAAATCTTAAAAAAAATAAAAAAAATAAAATGACTGAGAATAGAGGAACCATTCTTTAATAAAGTTAACGCCTCCCTTTCAGTAATACTTTGGTGTAAATAAAAGTCCACAATACAATGGCAAATGTGTCTGAATGAATTAAAAATAACACCAATTCAATCTTACCTATATGACACTCAACATAGCCTTCCAGCGCACTATGTGGAATGTAAGGATGGAACTAGATTCTATGAAGACTAATCATGAAAATGGAGCCGTGTGGATCACTCTAATGATATGATCTGAGTCTAAAGCATCACAGAATGAAAAGAATGACCCCAGAAAATAACAGAAAACTACCTGTATTGAGAAGTCATTGTAATATTACCTATACACTAAGATGAGGTCCTGAATGTGTGCCACAAACAAAGACAGAACTCAATGCAGAAGATGAAAACAATAAAATCAAGGAGAGGTTCAAGGCCCAATTGCAATTGGAAGGAAAATAATGTTATAAATTCAGGAATCAGAGTTGACAAACGGGTGAAAAATAATTTGAAAAGAAAGATGTGGTATATAGACAGGATGAACTTCTACTGAGCTACTAAAAAGGATACATCTGGCCACGTGCAACAACAACAATGGAATGCTGGGGGAGGATTATGCTCAGTGAAAAGAATCAGAAGGAGAAAGACTTACTGGATGAATTCACTCCTATTTGGACTTTGGAAAAACAAGGCAAAGAAACTGACATTACAAAAAAAAATAATAAACTCTAGAAATAGGACTGCAGAATGAGGGT